TATGTAAGTAGCCTATGTTCTTTTAGATTATTCTCGACATATACGCCAAATTTGATAGAGATCGGATGAACCGTTCTGTCTATACATATAACAGAACTGTAAGTCGGCGTTAAAAAAATCGAAGCACACCTTTATTTTTCTGTAGTATTGGCGCACCAATCTACGACGCAGTGTTTTTTTCGACGACCGCCGGGATGCAAATTCGGTCTGGATTTATAACCCGTCTACGTGTCCGATGTCACGTATGCAGTTTGAAAAGATGAATATATCGAATTTCAATTTCAGTATGGAATGAATGGAATTTTTAGACAGAGTAACGGGTGGCCGTTCTTCTTGCTGAAGTTGCTTGTGTGTATTTTGTTGACCATTGGCTAATTTTAGTAATTCATATTTTTTTCACGCATTTTTGTCTTTTATTGAATTAAAATCTTAACGTAAATTACTATGTTTAAGTTAACTGTTCATAAAACATATTTATTAAAACATTTAAGACGTGAAGCGATAAAAACGACACTTAAAAGAGTAACCGAAGTATATATTAATTTATTATCGAGTTGGAAATTGTAAAAAGATGTAATGTATTAAAAATAACCATGACCCATCTGACGACGTAGACCCACTGCCCAAATCTGTCCACCACAATAAAACTTTATTTCTTATTGTGTCGAGGCAAGTTACCACGCTCTCTCGATTTTTGTTTTTCACATCGCTAAGGTCCAACTTGTTTTCGAACTATGTAAGTTTATAAACGCTTCTGTCGTGCAAGTGTTCAAATATTTCAATGGGAACTGCGATACTTTAGCTCTTATCGACTTCAAACATTCAAGTTAATTTATTTATTGTAAAAATCTAATTTAGTTCATATGGACTAAGATACTGTTTTACCTACAATATAAAAGATGGCGGAGAAGAAACTGTGCGATCTATGACAATAGAAATACTATTCGATTTATCGAGAATATTGCTTAATACTTTTAAGACTTATTTTAATTCCTTTCTGTCGTCTTCGTGTCTGTTTATTATTTTAATTACATGGATTTTAGGGTTCTTGTGTTTTATCTAAGCGAAGTAATCGCTCTATATTAAACGTAATTATCTTGACCAGTTACTAACTTGGGTATATCAGTCAGTAGCCTTAATTTGTAGTCAGGCGTCTCAAGATTTAACGGAGCGAGTAGAACATGTGTAATCAGGTCTTAGTAACTGGACACCCAACGCACTCAGTAGTGTGAACAATTTTTTATCGATAATACGCAAAGGGATGAGTTGAAATTTTGAATACGTATATACGTATCTATGCTTATTTATTTGTATGATATTTTGGAATACTTTTAATTTAAGTCGTATCGGTTTCTCAATACCATTGGACACAGATTACGCAAGCAAGGAGAGGCGGGACGTTACTGCGAAATCACCAATAAAAACCTTTTAAGTTTTGTAAAGCGTAAGCAAATAAATCAATAGTAAGTTTTTGTAAAGTTAATTATTACGTTAATTATTTTAATACTTGTTGACGTTGGAAGTATTGCGTTAACGGCGGTCACTCGATGAGTTCTCGACAATCAGACTGCTGTCGACATCTGGCGACCATGCCACACAACATGTGCTTTTTTAATTAACGCCGTTTATGAAGCGCTTTTAATAAATTCATATTCCAACTCAAAATATTATTAAATTAATCAATGAATTTTTATTATATTTATAAAAAATACTTTGATTGATCTTTGATGGTATTTTGGCGTTACTATGTATTAGATTTTATAGACAAAAGCATAAATTTTACCGTAAAATTTAACACTACCGTGAGACTTGTTTTGAGGCGTATTATCATCCCCTTAACAAAACAGACAAACAGATAATTTAAATAATTGAACTACTAGTTATTTATAATAGCTTCAAATATCCTATGTTATAGATGCATAACTGCTAAACGGTAACAAAAGTGGCTTTAATAATAGCAGTAGCAACGGGACCCAACTTTAGTACAAAACGCCTAATTGTTTTCATTTATCCGATTTAAAACTGGAAAGCCGATTTAAATGAAATATTAGCGTAATCGTAAACAATGCGTGCTTTAAACAACTCAAACAATTCCTTCTTTAGCACAACTAACGTGTAAAACAAAATAGGAAGTGCATAGCTTCACGGACGCAAATCAAATACATGTTCCCCAATAGTCAAACAAATGCAACCCATAATAGATCTTTCTTAATAACAATATAACTTACTATTTTTACCATAAAACAGTACGTTTGATAATAAGATTACGTTTACTAGTAACCAAACCCAAAATCAACGTAGTTTAAAATTGAAATAAAATTTAATCCGATATCTAAAGAAAACAATATGTTCGTACGATACGTAAGTTTAATATTGATATTGAATAAAAATATTCAAAGTTTTAAGTAAATAAATCATAAATCGCCGGCATAACTTAATACTTGTGATAAATATTTTAATTATAAGAGCTATTATTTTTTATTATTAATGCTCAATATCTTTTACTTATAAAACTTGGTGTCCGAAACAAGTTATCAATAAGTGACAACCGCAGAAGTATTAGGAGTTTTACCTGCCTATGTACGGGTTTACGACGAGACCCCTTTCTCACAGATCATTATTTCGCGATCCTAAGATGTACAATTAGCAAAAAAATGACGACCCCTAATAAGACTTCAAGACCCCATTGTAGGTCGCAGTTACCGGAAAAAATTCTAAATAAGAATAAACGTTCCTTGTCAACATTTTTAGGAGTCTTCCCTGCCTATTACGGGTTTATGATGCGACCCCTTGATCACAGGATATTATTTCGCGACCCCAAGATGAACAGTTAGCAAAAAAATGACGACCCCCCAACAAGAATTCAAGACCGCATTGTAGGTCGCGATTCCCGAAAAAATGTACTAAATTCTGTCAAACGTTCACCGTTTAAAGCTACATAAATCAATGTTTTCAATCGCATTGATGAAAATGTACAAAAAAACTAGTCATCCCGCAAATACGTATTTTGGAAGCATATCAAGTTTATTTGACGTGTTTTAAATATAAAATCGACCACAGCCCTTGAAGATATAGTTGAATGGACTGAGAATATGCTAGCCTTCGACATGCGTCGGATGCATACAATTGAATACGTTGGTTTATGATTGTTGAATAATAAAGACATTATATTATTAACCAATAAATCGATACATAGCTTACTTGCCCAATCGATTGGAACTTGGGGAAACAAGACCCGGGATATAATGTAAAAATTTGTATATCAATATTGTCCTTCTTGAACTGTATCAGTTTTTATCTGACTACTTGTTTTTTTATTACAACTCAAATATAAATAAATCCAACTCAAAAGAATGTTGTCACTTACGATACGTTATATTTTCCACAAATGTTTATAGAATTTCGTAGAATTCGGATACCTACTACGAACTAACTTGTTCCTTTAAATTTCGAATTCCCAGAAACAATGCATTGTTTACTAGATTCTAAAAGAAGTATCAATACCTAGAGCATTGGATTATTAAGAAACAATGTAATACAATTTTGTTTTTAAATTATAATCCCAATTATAAAGAAAACTAGAGTGCGTCTTACAATATTCAGCTCCTCAAAGATTCAGCGAATCAAAAGAAGCTAAATGCTTAGCGACAATTTGATGACATCGTTAACCTTAATACAAAAGTGAACGATTGATGAAAGTCATCAATATTTTAAAAGGTATTTAAAGGAGGTCTCAAAATATCAACGTAAACAAAAAACCGTCATACTTGTGGCGTGTAGGAAATTTTATTGTTAATCATACTTATTCGTGGGCTCATTGTTTATTCTCCGTTCGATTGCCTTTTCAATCCGATTGCAATGCACAAACTTATTTGTAATATGTAGGCAAATACTATTTGTTATATTTTAATGAAGGCGTGTCAAATAAATGTTTATCAAAAATAAATTTAATTATTATAATAATATTATTTTTGCGTAATCATCGTTTTAGTTTAAATATTTATCCGGAAAATAATTAAATAAATTATTTTTTAAAATGTTGATACTAATATGTTTTGCCCAATTGCTTTGTAGGTAGGTACTTTGACTTATCGTCTTCATCTATATTGATGTCTTCAAGTTTGCAGGTGGCGCTGAAGTCTGAAGCTTTCTTATTCTTTGTTTCACTATACTTAAAAAAAACACAAAACATTAAAATAACAGTTCAATACCATCTCCATATCATCGTTGACCAATTTGTGGCTTCCATTGCTGTTTGAGCATCGATATCTGTAAAAAGTGCGCTGCGGGACACGCCCTTTTCTCCTGATAATCTTTATTCTAAGTCGACTGAAAAATTTCTTCCCCAACTTCAGTACAAGGGTAACAAAAGCTCTTAGAAATTAGTCGCTTCCGTCCCACCTACGTCTATATGCAGAACTTCTTTCATATTAATTAGCCTCATTAGGCTAACATAAAAATTGAATTATTCCTCTTTGGTTAAAATAACAATTAAGAAACTAAAACAATTGCCTGTAAAATGCTAGATTTTAATTTAATAAAATCTAGATATCTCTTCAATCGATGCAACTGGAACTCTTTCAATTTTTTTCCTATTAACATATAAGTCTACGAACTCGAGAATAGGGGTAAAATAAAAAATACACAATATAAGGAAATATTATAAATATTTTTAAATTTGGCAGTGCGGGCATTCGCAACGCGAAACTCGCAACGTAAAATTCGCTGCATAAACTTTCTAGAAAAACAAGAAGGTAAAAAAAAACTAAACAATATATTTAAAAAAACCGGGAATGGGACTTTCGTACTAAACAATAACTATAACTTGAAATGTAAATATCTCGAAGACAGCACAGCATCCCAAAACCAACAAAAGAGAAACGTGTTAGGGAATTTAGGGTATTACCTAAACTAGAAAAAAAATAGTTTATATGCAGGTGAACACGCAAGCGGAAGGGATTAAACAAATTTAAATAATACAACACAACCTAAAAACTAACCTGGTACTTGATGCCGGCCAGACGGATCCATGTCTCAACTTTCAAGCAATAAGGAGAAGTCGAGGGCAATACGGGAGTACGTGTGAATTGATACAGGTACACGACGTCCTTCTCAAAGTTGGTCTTATGTACATTCGGCTTCGGGGGAGCAGCCTCTGGTTTTTTCTCCTCTACTTTTTCTGCCTTCGCCTCAGTCGCCGGCGGCTCCTCTTTAGTCTGCCCATTGTCTACCGGAGCCTCATCTTTTACTTCCTTCGGCTTTTCAGGGGTTTCAGGAGTTGTTGGTATAGCTTCAGAAGTCATTTTGAATATTTTTTCACTCAAGCCTGCCGAGTAAAGCACAAACTGACGCGTCGACTTTTTTTATGTTAACACAACCCGCGCGTTCAAGTAACTGATGCTCGCACGACTGCCTCGTAAATGAGCAACCGATTGACTGACTTCGGGTCGGGCTCGGAGCTCGGGGCTCGGGGCACGGTGCTCGGGGCTCGGGGTTCGGGCGGCCGGGCGGGCCGGTTCCCGGTTGCTCCGCAACGCCTCGATCGTTCCACACAAAATGGCCGCTTTCTCCCGAACGCGATCGATGCAGCTATTTTTTTTTTGTTATAGACTACAATGTTTTAAACTGTTGTTATTACACATTGTACATTTTTGAATTTTTAAATTGTTTTGCTAAGTAAAACTTGTGAAATCATAAATATAGTAAACGTTTGGAGGTCCACAAAACTATGGCGCCTAATTTGAAATGTACCGTGCTGCAATAACTTCCGGTATAACATACATAAGGAATTTCTACTTCACTTATTTATTTATACTTAAATTAATAAATGATTAATTACTTGTTTTACTAATAATTCGGAATTTAAGTGTATTCAAATTAAAGGAATATTGATTTATTTTTCGTCTCGGTGGGTTTCGGCTGAACTGTTACGTCGAAGAAGGTTATCTGGCTCGATGTGTGGGACGCTGCTATTGCGGTTAGTTGTGCCAGGAAATATGCAAATGTAAAGCCAGACAGCCGGACAGGGTTCAGGAAATGGCTTATGAGAAATCAAATCAGTACGAAAACGACCTTTTGAGACTGTTTTGACACTGAATGGGGGGCGCTAGTGAGCTCAATCTTCATTTATTTTAACTAATCCCCGGGGGGGAGATGTACTGGTCGCTTACTGAGCTCTATAAATGGACTGGCTATAAAATGTAGTAATTTGTGCCCATTGGATACGCGCCATTTTGGCGCTGATGGTAATGGTTTGTAGCAGTGGTGTGGATTCGAACTAATAAAATAGATAGTATTAACTGACTCGTAACATCAACAGCAGCTTTTAAATTGGAACGAAGTAAAAGCTGTCATTTCCAAGCAATTGCCTATCCATTTGTAGAGATCAATGTTGTCTGTATATAGCAAAGGGGTTCGGTTAGTCCAGTAGTTCCCAAACTAATTTTGTCTACTGCCCACTATGACAATATTTTTTTTAGCGCCCCCATATTTTCACATATTTAAAGACCACTATAACTTCAAATTAAATTAATTAATTATTGTGACCTATATGTGTATATTAACGGAGAATTCTAAACGAAACTTTTACTATAACCCGCAACTTGAGACCTGCAGCGCCCATAAGGGGGCGTTATCGCCCACTTTGGGAAAGACTGAGTTAGTCGATGGTAATTGTAATCGTGGAATTCCACTGCGGTAAAAAAATATTGCTTTATATTTTCCAAGCGAATGTAGAGATTGACTATATTTTATTTTCGCCAGTGTAAATCTAGAGTTAAATTAACCGAATCTCCTAAACAAAAGACTACTTAACAGGAGCATAATAGAGATATTTTTAATGATTTCCTGGACTAATTTTATATTTAATTTCATTGCTATGGGGACATTTGTGGTAAGAAAACACAATAAAACATCGTGGGCGGATAACATGATTTATTTCAGACATATCAAAAGCTTAAATTATTTCAATTTTACCGTTAACGTAATTAAAATAAGCAAAAGCCACTGAGGTAATTTATATATTCATGTCTTGTCGAAGGTTTTACAGACAGGAAACATATCATCCTTTTTATTTTGTTTGAAAAAAAAAACAGACAAGATTATTATTGTATGTGTTTCGGCAGTAATATAAATACACGTGCCCTTCCTTTTGTTTAACAAATCTATCGTTTTAATTTACACGATAACAACACTCTGTATATATTTTATATCCTTAAAATTGCCCTAAAGTACACAAAAATAATAAAAAAATCATCCTTTTCGTTGTAAATTAACCACTAACAAAAATTATTTTAATACATTTATAAAACGAATTGTAAAAATTATAGTAACTAAATTAAATAAGTAATATTTATATTGATCAAAATTACATACATTTCATACTTCAAAAATTAATTAACCTTATAAATTAAATTGTGGATACGCGAGAGTACAATGGACCGCGATATTCTCGCTTATGGTGATTTCTGTCTAACCTTTGTTTCTCGCTTATGAAGGTCGTCCGTAGTAATTGTACAGACTCTCGCTTATCTAGGTTATACTAAGATATAAATGGATTTAAAACTAAATGTGAATTAATGTGTGACTGTGGGTTTACACTGCCGTGAATTGTATTACTACGAATTGTTTTTCTCTTTTGTATCAAAGATAATGAAAGAGATGGCGATATGTATAATACAAATCACAACAGAGATATGAGTTAAAAAATTAATACTGAATTCTAACACTACAAATATAACTAAGTACAGATTATTAAATATATCGGAATTAAACATAAAAAAAAACTTAAGGCTTAAGTTACATTTTAGCTTAAATATAATTACGTTAATTCTTTATCACACTTATGTATAAAATTACAAGAAATCATGTATATTGAAATATTCTTTTATAACCACGTTGACGTTCATTATATCAATCACTGGCTGTCAAATAGTTAATACACGTTTTTAACTAAACACTGTCTAACTGTATTTTTTAATACAGATCGTGTTTATTAAAAAATTTAATATAGAATTAAACATTTAATTCTTTTTATTATATAAAATATTTTGCCCGCAACTTCAGAGCGGTTGAGTGCAAAAAAAAACTTAGTAGCCTAAATGTCCTTCCAGACTATTCTACATCTGTGCCAAATTTCAGCGAGATCCGTTAAGCTGTTTTAGAGATACGTAGTAAAAACATCCATTCATTTATCCATCCGTTCATCCATACGTCCAAAATTTTGCATTGATAATATTAGTATGATTGTTATATTAGTCCTATAATAACGTAGATTAATTTAAAAGAATTTTACATTGAACATTTTTCACTCGTGTATGTATATCAGTACATTTATGTTAAAGTAAGTTTTCACCGTTGTATTACAAAATTATTTTTTATTTTATTTTTTAGAGAGGGATAACACTATTTACTATATGTGGCATTGGAAATCAAAGTTAAGAACACAAAGTTAAATTATTAATAGTTGTTAATATATGTTTTAAGTGCGTATCTTATTTCTTAAAAATATTCTTAAATGCGCAGTTACAGTATTTCTTAAAGTTAACATTTTATTTTTAATCATTGTAGAAAATTAATTGCACTTTAATGTGATGTTAGAAATTAATCATAGTATATACTTAATTATAATAAAACCCCTTAACTATAATCATAACACACTTTCCTACAATAAAAAAAATCCTAATATATTTAGATGACACTTTTTCTTACCTATTTTACAATATCACTTGACTTAATCTCAATATTTTTACAATATAAGTGAAATATCATAATGGACGTCATGTTTGGAATATGACGTTTTATTTTTTTAATTTAATTTTAAATTCGAAACAAAGGATACTATCTAAGCGTATATATGGGGAAACCGGTAAGCGAGAGTACAAGGTACTGCGATATGTTTCTCGCTTATACAGTTCCCTCTCTAACCTGTTTGTCGCTTAAACAGTTTTCTCTCTAACCTGTTTCACGCTTGTTCAGTTTCCTCTCTAACCTGTTTTTCGCTTGTACAGTTTTCTCTCTAACCTGTTTCTCGCTTTTACAAGTTCCTCTCTAACCTGTTTCTCGCTTATACAAGTTCCTCTCTAACCTGTTTCTCGCTTATACGGTTTCCTCTCAAATCTTTTTCTCGCTTACGTAGGTCGTCCGTCGAAACCGGATAATGACTCTCGCTTCGACAGTATGTGTTCAGAACTATTATTAATTATTATGAAATATTTTGTTCGGTCAAAATGTATTATTAATTACAATAATATATCAACGGTACTTTGAAAGTGAAGGCAAGAATTAACCTTTCAATGCTTAATACCCAAGAATATTAAAAAATAGTATTTTAAGCTTAGTATTAAAATATTGCTTATAAAATAATTACAATTAAACGTAATAATAATTATGTCCATATCATTTCTACACATATTCCTTATACTAATTAAAGTAAAATTATCGGAAAATATTATCATTAATAACCTTATTATGTAGAAAAATATGTACACTTAAACCATATTTACAAATATGGAGTAAAAGCGAAATATAAAAAAAAAAACAAAACAAAAATAAGGACGTCAAATTAATAATTTCAAAATTAAAATTAATTAGTTAAATTAATAACTAAAATATTTGATAAAGCTGCAAAATGCATATATAACAATAAGACCGTGATTTTAAGCGTATGAATTATAAATGCGAAAAAACTTTTATGCATATACTAAAATTGATAATAAAAAGCAGATACCAAATAATTAACCTAAATAATCTAAGGACTTCATTTTGGACAGAATCAAATGTATGTAAATGTGTAATATTAAAATAAAAAAAAACAAAGCTAAGAAGTAAAATTAACGATAACCATAAGGTTAAGACCACACAAAGAAACTGAAGTGCATTAAATATAAAATAAATGCCACATCACTATTGTTGGGAATAAAAAATCCGACATTACCGGTGTGTTGACACAACACTAGCCTTACTAAAATATCGACGTTTATGTCCCCTCACTAATCATTCTGACACTTGACTTTGTAACGAAAGCGTACTATTCGCGCCAATCGATTCTAACCAATGATGTGAAAAAGTACATAGGGATAGATAGTCCTAGTAAAGTATTTTAAAACTTCAAACTTTATTGCATTAAAATTCAAAGTTTTTCTAACCATAGTTGAAACTAGTGGAACTACCATATTCGTAAAACATTTCATATTTTGTCGATAACGTTACGATGGCTCGTGACGTAAATATTCATGATAGGCACTCAAATTCGTATTAATTCGTGTGGTGTATATTACCACCTATAAGACTGCTCCAGCATCCGCTAAACTACTCACTATGTCAGTTAATTAAGCTTAGAAATAACTACATATTATATATTCGACAAATTTCATTCACACAATAAATTGACTGATTTACCGTGGGTTTCTGACACCAAAATCTCTGTACAATATCGTCATATCTGTCTTTTATCTTTATACAAAACAGAGAACTATATTTTTAATTATGGATTTTAGTTTCAGAAACCCACGATTAATAATAAAAATTATGCTATTACCTTAAGTTGGTATTATTCGACAAACATTTTGTTCACATATTGATTGCTTAAAAATAAGTTGTGAATTATGAATAGTATAGTTCATTTTTGACACTATGTGACAGTTGAGTCAGTGTCATCAGCCGTATGCTATGCAGCATTTATCTGATCCACATTGAGATGTGTAATGAATCTCAAACGCATCTGCAACGCAGGCCGTAGTTTCCTGATCACATTTTCAACTTCATTCTTCATTATATCACCAACGAACATGTATTTGATGTGATAACTGTACAACTGTTAAAGAAAATTAAATAAAAAATATTACTATAATATTATATTATTGTAGATTAAAATCATAGGCACTCTGTAAATGGATAGGTGATTGCTTTGAAACGACAGCTTTAGCTTTGTTCCAATTTAAACGCTTTTTCAAGTTCCTGACATTTCTAACACTATTATTAGTTTGAGTCCTCGCTACCGCTACCGCAACTATCAGCGCCAAAATGGCAAAAATCAATTAGGCACAAAATACATTGGTTTATAACCTATCCATGTATAAAGGTCAGTGTTGATAGAGTAGAGTACACTGGCTGAAAAGAGAAATATGTGAAATAATTTTATCAATTAAATTCCTCACAATATTGTTGTCTTTAAAATTCTATGATAAATAATACGATAATGTTATTTCTTTAGTGAAAATCTATCCCTAATTGGTTGTAAGTCAAGATAAGATTTTTCTTCATACAGTAAATTCTATCATTATATTTAGCTTAATATTTTATTAAAAAGGATACAGCAAGTCACATATAGGGTCGACGTATTGCAAATGAGGTTGCAATTTATCTATATGTGCGAGTAACTCGTATAATGTCAGAGTAATATCCATCACAACACGAGATATATCAGAGTTGAACCGCTGCAGGAGCGGACCCACCATGTGACAGAGGAACAATAGTTGCGTTTCTGTTCGGATCTCGGGCGATAATTTCTCTTTCACAAAGCTGAAATGTGAACATTTTATAAAATATCTTACTACTATTATAATGTTTAGATGAATGGATGAATGTTTGTTAGAAGGTATCTCCGGAACATCTCAACGGATCTTGATGAAATTTGTCATACATATAGAACATAGTGTGAAAGAACACATAGGCTACTAATTATTTTTAATACCGCGCAAACGAAGTCATAAGCAATGGCTAGTAATATTATCAATGCAGAGGTGTGGAATGGTGGATGGATGGAAATGTTACAATGTATCTCCGGAACGGCTACATAGGTTTCGTTGAAATTTGGTACAGACGTAGAACTTAGAACACATAAAGGTTACTAATTGAAAGGTGACAATATTAGCTGAAAGGTACAATAAATCGTATATATCAATATTTAAAGAATTACAAACAAACTTACGTAGGAACCTGAACAATCTGTCCGGTACCAGCATGATACCAAATAGCATGACCCAAAGCAAGCGTCAAACTATATTTATTCTCCAACATTGTTGCATTTGTCGTTTTCAAATTGAATATCTGGAACGGACTTTCAGAATATGGCCATTCTATTATTTCATTACTAGTTATAAGTTCCAAAATCTTGTCATGTATCACATTCCAATATGGGTCAGGTAATGCGGCCATTATAAGTCCCACGGCGTTTACCCATAACTGTATCTTTGTGGTGGGTATTACGACAAACCCACTAGTGATAATTTCAAGTAGACTATTACCAACAACATTCGGTGGGAATGGTAAAGACATCAATTCAACACAAGTCACATATAACGCATGAGCTGATGGATTCGGATATTCATTGAAACGCCAATCTGTGTTCGGAAAGTGTGATTGTCCGGTCATCGCTGGAATTTTGTTTAGGAAATATTTCTTTTGTTATTTAGCTGTATTACTCAGAGTCTGAAGTGTCTTAAGGTATATTTGTAGTATAAAAATGCTAGTCAATTTAAAACATAATTCTGTACTAAACTCAGATTTTAAAATGTAATTTTCATATATAACTCTTTATGTGTTACTAATATTATAAATGCCAATGTTTAGACGAATGGATGTATGTATGTATGGATGGATGTTTGTTTGAAGGTATCTCCGGTACGGATGAACCGATATCGCTGAACTTCAACATAGATGTAGAACATAGTTCTTCAAAACTCATAGGCTATTTATTATCTTTTTTTAATTCCGCCGGACGGAGTCGCAGGCGACATCTAGTATGAAGACTAAAAAAGACAAATTATTTTTACAAAATTAGTACAAATATAAAAAAGGATACTGTCAACCATTCTATTGACGAGACTTAAATAATAATTTAAATCTGGTGTCCAACTGGTCGCGTCAACTTCAGGTCTGGCTAGATAAGACTGGAAGGCTTCTGTAGTCGCCCAACCGGCAGGTCGTACATCTTTCAATGACCCTAACACCGCGTTAACTAACTTACGTTTTAGTAACGGTTTATCACGCAATTTTAATTCGTAGTAATGCAATGTATTGTATAAAAATGTTATCGGACGATCTGGAAATAAAGGTTTTAGAAATTTAAATCTTTTTAAATTTTTTATATGATTGTTATTGGTATTAGAAAACTAAATAACAAATAAAATACAAAAACAAATATATTTGAATTTAGAGCCAGAAATGCCTGAATTGAAATTATAAAAAAAGAAAAATCATGTTTAAAACTTAATTAATCTGAACATTTAAACCATTCAAAGACATTACAACTTACAATAGAATTAAAAATATAAAAATTAAAACATTAAAAATACTAAAAATGCACAAAAAATAACAATTTATAAAACTTACCATGGAATTTATACAGATAACCAATATGTTCGAGCAATTGTTCCAAGTTCTTGCTGACTTGAGGTATCTCTAAATGTCTGTGCACTACCACATCCAGCACTGGAATGATGCGAAGACAAACATTACTCAGGTAAACTGGTATAGTACCTCCGTATGTACCACTTGCCTCCTCCGGTGCAAACTTCTCTGGATATTTCCTATGGAATGCCAAATGTTTTTCGTACCTGAAACAATAATTAATTTAAAAAAAATCAAGCTTTCTACTAGCATTCACCCGCGACTTCGTCAGTGCAGAATGACATAAAAAAGTAACATATAATATACCTGCGTCCAGACAGACAAACATACAGAAATATAAATATTTATTTCGATTGTACATTCAGACACTCCAATTTTATTAATAAATATTATATGTACTATGAAAGTTATGTTTAAAAATTTAAAATCTTATTAAAAACATACTCGGTTTAACCATTTTGCAGTCATTTCTAAATGTTGATATTAAAAAAATCCATACTTTTGCAATTTAATATAATATAATTATAAAGAAAAAAGAACTTTTCCAATTTTTTTTAAATATGAAAAAATCACAATTTTAAACATTGTCAAAAAATTGCTAAAAAAATGTATTATTATTACCAATTATTTTGTTTCCAATGCTCCGGGGAGTTTTCCTTTACAAAATCTTGAGCTCTGTTCCTCAACTCTGATCCTTTTAGTAGCAGCAGCTGGATAATGTACAAACACACCTGACTCTCATTACCATCTAGATTTGGACGTAAGACCTGAAAAGATAGATATATAAATTTCAAGTATAACTGTAGTTTCCTGTGACATAAGTTAAATCAAATAGCATTATTTTCAAACAAAATTTTACTAACCATGGATTTCTAAGACTAAAATCCCCGTTTAAAACATATTGTTACCTCTGTTTTATCAAAAATGAAAGACTGGGATGACAATATGTTTTATACAAATATTATGGTCACATAAACTCAATTACTGCAATCAATTAATTTATTTTCGAAGTTTTTCAGGTTTTGAAATACCACTGAACTTTAAATCTTATGCTTAATTTATATATGACATATTTAAGTTATTAAATTTCATAGAAGAATACTCACAAGGCACAAAACCAGTCTATCAATAGTAACAATATTATATTTCCATACAATATCATTGATGGCATCCACACATTTGTTGATATGTGGTCCGCCTGCCGGATTTGTCACTTCATACATCAAATAGTCACAGAACTTGCGCACATGAGCTGACAATGCTCTTGCACCAATGCGCTCTAGAATCCTAAAAAACATGAAATGGCAAATTACTACAAAGTGTAACACACTTAGACCAAATTAAGAAACAGACAGACATCCTTCGGATGATAATGCATTTTTTTAATTTAATTTCTAGAAAACTAACCCATTCCTTAGTTCGAATTTAAAAATATATAAAACTAGCAGTCGCCCGCGACTCCGTCCGGGTGAAATAAAAAAAAAATATTAGTAGCCTATATATTCTTCCAAACTATGTTCTATATGTGTTCCAAATTTCATCGAGATCGGTTCAGCCATTCTACAGATACCTTCAAACAAACATCCATCCATCCATCTAAACATTTATTTATAATTTTAGTAAGATTAATACATTAATTTTAATAGTAATTAATACAACATTTTTCAAATTGAAGGATCATCATAACATGTTAAATACTATGAATTTCAAGTATTAAGTGTGTATGAAATCAATCGGTGGCACTGAAAGTTTTAATAAGATATAGTTATTTAGTAAAAAATCTTACTTGAATGCTATAGGATTGATTCTATTTGTTTCAAAGATGATCTTCCATAATAGACATACAAAGAGTGGTGCTACAGGTACAGAGAAATGTGATATTATATCATTATCATTGGCCATAGACGACCATTTTCTATATTCTTCTTCAACATATTTCTTCAACAGCTGTTTATTTTCTTTCTGTGCTGTATTCTGTTAAAATAAAAATTACAAAAAAAACAATATTTTACAATTTTCTTTCTGTACTATAAATTCAAGATACATACAGTTGAAATTTAAAAAAAAAACTGGTTTACAAAAAAAATCTACCCATACTAAAAAAATCACAAGGATGCCGTCTAGTATTATTATCTGTTAGAATCCTTCATCATATCAAAGTATTATTACATATAAAATATAAAAAGGATATGATCCGGTATGAAAAATAAATATGTCATAGTTACATTATATCCAAAAAAAAATTAACTAAAAATAATGCAAAAATGATGCTTACCTGTGAGAAGAACTCAACAAGTACAGGCGGGAAACACTGCAACGTGTGCTGTGACCAATTGTGTGGAGTATTAGCCATTATCGTTGTTAATAACTCCTTCACAGCGGCACTGTCGCTGCCTGTAATAGTCAAACATGAAGAACTTAGGAACCTCTATAAGCGAGCAACTTCTATGAACAAATCGTTGTCCAGGTCTAACAGGCAACCTACATAAGTGAGAAACTTCGTTTAGAGAAAAACCTCCACAAGCGAGTGCGTTTTTTCTCTAATAAATATAACATTTATTAAATAATTTGTATTCGACAGTTATATCTGCAGAATTCGTCAATTAACTCTAAACTAAATAATTGTGCCGTCAAATGAAAAAATATTCAAATCACATCAATAGTTCATAAGGTAAGTAAACAAATCTTATCACTTTATAACCTCATGATCCATTCTCTATATAAATAGTTTGAGATACCTAAGTAATATCGAAATTACTAATAACAATCATCTCTGTATCAATATAATTATACTACTTATAAAGAAAAAATAGAGCATCAGTGGCTCAGTGGTTAAGCACTTGCAATCTGCAGATCCTGGGTTCAAATCCCGCCATGTACCAATTTGTTTTTTCATTTCTGATTTACATATATACATTTATTCAACGTTCTTACGGTGATCGTGATGCAACCTGCACATATCTGAGAAGAAATTCAAAGATATATGTGAATTTAACCAACCCACACTTGGCCAGCATGGTTGACTATGGCCTAATCACCTCTAACTTATGTTAAGGTAGGCTCAGAGCTCCTCGGTGAGGATGTAGTATAGTGAACTGATGAATGAAAGAGAAAAAAACATACCAGTCCCTGTCATATGAATGCCTCTAGCTAAGGTCAGTACAAGAACTCTATTGAGTTCCTCACTGTCTGAAGACACGAGTGACTTCGGTTCTGATACAACACGAGACATCTGCAGTTGGACTCCGGAACTTCCCAGACTTGTAATTAGACGTAAGGCCGTACTTTCAAAACTGAAAAGAATATATCAATTAGAACTTAGTAATTAATATAAAATAGCAAAATATTAAATGTAAGTTAAGAATTTATTCATTCCTAATTATCTTAAACAATGTGCCATAAGATGGTTCTCTCGGTGAGATTTGAACCCACTACCACTAGATCAAAACAACTTTTATCATACAGCTTTTAGTGCTTTCTAATCTTACTAATATTACAAATACAAATGTTTGGATGGATGAACGTTAGAAGGTATCTCCACAATGGCTGCATAGATCTCAATGAAATTTGGGATACATGTAAAACATAGTCTGGAAGTGCACATAGACTACTAATTTAGATTTTTTTTAATTACATACCATAGTTGCAATTGAGTTTGATTTGCTTGCGGACAGGCAGCTAACGAATGTAGATGTGAGAGTAGAGTCACTCTGTAATGTGGCTGTATATGATGGATACGATATGAAAACATATCCAACAAGTTATGTAGGATGCCCCAAGCGTGGGACTTGAACACGTTTGGTAGCAGCTGATCTGTGGGCATAAGTATTATTACTAAGACTAAATATAACAAGTGAGAAACAGCCGCTTCAATCTAATCTTAAGCTATTATTTACACTTCAAGAATTAACTTAAATAGTTTATTTAGCAAAAGATGTACTTACTTATAAACCCTTTAATACCTAAGGATTCAATCTCGGTGTAAACAAGCAAACGACTGTATGTCTCCACAAGGGCTGGTGCCATCATACTACTGCCGGGTAGATTAGTCTTGTTCTGTGCCAATTTAGCCACATGAGTGACTATAGAATGTATAACAGACATCTTGCAGTGCAATGTCAAACTATCCAATATACACATAGACAAAGGCATTGTTGGTAACGGTGTACCGGGATTACCATTAGGTAAAGGTTTCTGAATGCCAAATAATGTTTCAATTATAATTCCCATTGGTCTTGTATAACATTCCTGTTTTGTTGAGTATGCATTACATAGTAAAGGTATTCTGTAGTCTCCTCCCATTAATGATGGCGTATTATTAGAGGACATGAGATGTTGGAGAAATCTATAAGAGGCAAATAATACATGCATTTTATTGTTCAAAAGTAATGCAATAAGTATCAAGTAAATATATGTGTGTACTGATAAACTAAGACCTTTGTATTTAATGTTTTTATATGCCATTTAATATTTAATGATTGGTTTCATATTATATAAGAAACTATCTTATCAAGAATAAACAGATACATTGTATTTACAATGAATACTTACTCATACTGCACTTTCAAGTTCTGAGGCATCGACATAGTTTTGTGTTCTGTTTCGGCTTTCTTAAGTAAATGCATCCAAATACATACAACAGCCATTTGATGTGTGCTGTGTGCTCTTGTCCAATCAGGTACAGGCAGAGGTTCCTTTTCTGGGTACAACAGCTCATACAACTTTATAATTGGTAAGAAATCAGATAATGGATGTCTTTGAATACTGCCCGATATAAACTGTAAAAGAACCCACATCAAATGATCTCGTCCTTTCTTCAAATTGTGTCCTGTAAGTTTATTATGCAAACCCATAACAATGTTTGAGAAAGATGCAAATCCAATCAATATTAAATATATCACTTGGGATGACAAATGTAGCCAACACCAATGAGTGGAGGACATTTCATCTTCTTCATTTTCTTGTTCATTTTTTTCCATCGGTGAAATCATTAATTCAACAAGTTGATCTTCAAGCGCTATGCAGCGCTGTTTGTGCTGTTTTTGTAAGCCGAGCATTGAACACATCATATCTCTTGAGTATGGCTGTTGAATCACATGCCGTAATAGTGCTATTTGTGGCTTTAGCAGTTCATCATCATATGGTAAGTTTCCTTTTAGTGAAAATTTCAATGTTGTTGGATCGAGCCGCCAGGGATTAATAAGATGGTCAGCGTAACCTGAGAACTCAACCACAGGTAGCATACTTGAATGACCGATTATTGACACCATTTGGGCGCAAGGTCTGAAACTCTCTATAAAACTGGTGAATAGATTTGCCAACTCCTGCAAAAAATTTCAATGGCAATTAAAATAGATTCAATATTGTGTTACTTGCTTTAAAGCTAACTCAGCAATTCTGTTGATAAGCAAGTAAACATTAATTAATTTTTTGTTGTTTATAAGTGATAAATCAACGAAGTGTTTCTATGAAAAAGTATATAGATAAAATATACTTACCCAATGTGGATAATGATTATTATCAGGATAGTCTTTCTGAATTTCTGTTACTATGAAGTATGCAGGTAGCAATGAAGCATTACGATCAAATATATACTCAAGTACATTGTACAATGCCTTCATCTGTGGTATGGTGCTTGAGTTAAGTCTCATTGGTAAACTGTGTGCTTTCTCTCGGCAGCCCTGAACACATGAATAAGAGAAAAAAAATCAAAGAAGTAAAAATTACTTCATTAAATCATCACATACTGTTTTTATAGATTTGTTTATTTCATTTTTGTTACAAGCTTGATAAGATGCAGTTACACTAAATTCAAAAGAATAAAACTAAAAAGTCATAGTCAAACTCGATAAGCAGTAGACCAAGCAACTGTGATATTTTTCTTGTTTATCAAAGAAAGATTCTTAACCAAGTTATTTGCTCTTGGAGGTTGTCGGTCAGGAAGAAATAATAACTGTTCCGGAAGTTTCTCGCTTATACAGGTTTAACTGTATTCAATAAAATAGGCTATAAAAGATTCTGCTTTATTGATATCAGGAACAAGAGTGTATTGTCCAAAATTCCAACTAAAGTGCCTCTTACTGTAGTTTATGTTAAAATAATAAAATAATAATGGTTGTATTAACTTACCTTCATAATTTCTCTAACTCCTTTATAATCAACTCCACCTATTATCCTTCTAATGAGATTCAAACTTTGAATCCAATAATCAGCATTTTGGTAATTTAGATTGTCACTGCTCAAAATGCAGTCACAGACCATACTGCAAATAATAGAGTAAATTAATTTTATATACAAGTATTATCAAAAAATTAATGATTCAATGCGATAAAAAGTAGACCTCATCACCACTTTTGATAAACAAAGGAGGAGAGAGAACTGATAAAAATTAAAAATAACACTAATAATTAATCAATATTTCATACCGTGCTTGGAGGATGTTAGTATTGACCAAATTTTCCAGTATAGTCAGTAATTGTTTCATTTTATATTGATTTGTCTGAATGGCTGTGTGAGTCAAATACTGTCTGATGGCAGATTCTTGCAAATCTGCACTTAGACTTGTTATCATTGCGCATAACTTCTTTTGATACATAGCTAATTTCTCATTTTCTTGTTCTGGTTTATATACAAGGTAACTACTAAATGCTTCCTCAACAGGTTCCACTCGCTTAAAAGGGAGATATTTTAATAATAAAACCCTAGTCAAGTTCTTTTCATAGGTAAAAGTATTCATAAAATTAAAATAGACTAGGTAGAAGGCAGTAACAGAGGTATTGGCACAAAAATTGATATTTAAAATTTTTATTTAAAATGTTTTGTGCCAATATCAATTTTTTGTTGGATGTTTTTCAACATTTTAAATACAATAATAATTCATTTGTAGTACTGTGATTGTGATAACTTACCAGTATGTCACTGACAATATTGCTAATTTGTAAATCAGCCATTTTAAAATCTTATGCCTACACTGTTTCGGTAATTATAACCTTAAACACATTTCGAACAAAATATCACAAATAATTACACTCGAACATATTCAAACTTGTTAAATCTACTTTATTCTACTTTACAGAGATAAATTTTAATAAAAATAATATAGTCGATAATTCCATGTCGAAAATTTCTAACAATCTACTAATTGTGAGCTTGTGAGAACGAGAATTAATAGTTTGACATTTGGTATTTGGTATTTTGGTATAGACTGATTGACACAGTTATTTGATCTGACTCGGTGGGCATAAGTCAGACTAAATTAGGATAGCTCACTAGCGCCCCCCTGTCAATGTCAAAAAAGATTTCGAAGATCACTATCACTGAGGTTGTCTTGTCATGTTCTGTTCTTTCATATCATTTTCCATTCTTATGTCGGTTTTATATGTTATTGACAGAAATATAAGGGCTTTAAGGCATCAATCAAATTATTAACAGCCCAAAAACGCCCCTTTGTTAACGTCAATAAATTTCACAGAATCCTCTTTGTGTTATAACTGTCATGTCATATTTTTCTTTTATATCATATGTAGGTTTTATTTAAATTCTGACAGAACTAACCAAGATAGCAGCGCCTCTCTCACCGATTCTGATTATTTTCATTATATTATATTATTTTTCACTGACTTATCTAATTCTTACTGCGAAAAACTGACTGCATTGTTGCATGCCGTAAACTGTGTCTTTTTTGGTCAAGTATAAATAGTGATAAAAGAAGAAAAATGTTCACCACTGTAGATTAGTCATGAAACATTTGAAAATATTTGGTATTGTAGTTTTTAGAAAAATATGAAGCACCTATCTACGTTGTTGTTGTTTTAAAAAAATTATAAATGTGCTTTTTTAAAAATTACATCCATTTAAAAGTTTACCAAGAGAGAAGTAACTTTATTACAAATTGCAATTGACTTAAACTTTTGTTTGGTTGATAACTTTGTGCCTTTGCCGCTAGTGCTACAAAGTTGTGAAAAAAACAAAGAGTTGCACCATGGATGTATAGCGAGTGAGACAGAAAATTTTGTGCTGAATGTTGCAATAGGTATATTAGTAAATTTGTTATTTTAAGACTGTTGTATAATATAGTGAATAACTTATGTTTTCGTCAGAATATTTTTGTAAATTATTGTACTTGGGGTGATGGAGTCACCGCCTTCTTTCTCTACACACTCTGAAGCACCACCGTTGAGTGAAGATAGTGGCCTTCTGATTACAAGTGGTTCGTTTTCTAGTGACTCCGCAAGTGGATGGCATCATATCACGTCAGAGGTGAGTAGTGATAATGAGCCATTAAACATTAACTCATACAAACACCAAATAGGTTAAAAACTTTTACTATTTACGTCTCCATGCCGTTACTAAGGGGTGTAAATAATAGTAACTATAACAAGTAAATAAAGCGTAACCTATCTGAACTTTTCCCAACTTTTTTATTGAGTTAATTGAGAAAGAAAATGTTAAATATTTGAGAATTCATGATTTTTTTAGGTTATTAAGTACTTGTATCGTAGTTTAACGTTTGAGATAGTTACAATTTTGAAATGCATTATGGACTTGTTATTGACTGCGCCGTGTGTACAAACAATGACAGTTTACGTAAACATGGAAATTACATACTACTATTTAACCTTTTACGAACTTTACTCTTTAAAATGATAATAACATTTTTTTCTTTTGTAAATCACTAAAAAATAATCATCAGATACAAAATTACATTTATAATAGTAAATTAGTAATAATAACATTTATTACACCTTTTTAAAGTATTAAATGTACAACATTATGCAGATAAGAAAGTAGAATAACTATGCATAAGTGACAGATATGAAATTATAAACATTTTTAAATAAAATTTATTAATTGCAGATCCTTTTTCGATTTTGTTATTAATATAACAGCTGTTAGGAAACAATTATTTATATCAGAAATTTTAACTTTACACATTATAATACTTATTGAAGGCACAGGACTTAACTATTTATTGAAATAGAGCATATTATATAAAAAGGAATATTATTTGTTTTCACTTTTATTTTTACCACATTGATATAAACATGTGTTGCAATGAAACAAAGAAGAGTTTAAATATTTTCAAAGTATCTTACAATAATTAGAATTTTATAAATGTTTTACTTTAATATAAATTGTTTTAACCTATTATCACCTCAAAATAAAGTTTTGTAACAAGTTTTTGTATGCTGTTATTTAGTTTAGAAGCTTGTTGAAGACAAACATACAATCATTGATATTATATTTGGTTAAGTCAGTTTATCACAAATATATATATAATAACCACCTTTGTTTTCTATATGCATAAAAATATTAAATTTATTGCTAATCAAAAAGTATATAAATTTTGTTTAAATGTATAAGGATAAAAGGTACTAGAAAAGATTTATATAGCAACATTATTTTAACCAGTTTCTATGATGTACTAGTCTAATGGTTATGGGTACGGACTACCAAATGTCAGGTAAAATTGTGGGTTCAAATCCAATATTGGTTAGTTAGTCCAACAGTGGATTATTAATTTAATGATCATAAATTAATATCTAAATCTAGTCTAAATGTGAACAATATTATTCTAATACTAATGGAGAGCTAAAAATAATTCATAGATTACTTTATTATTTTTCCCCTCATCATCAGCTTACTATAGATCCCAACCAAGGGGCCCCGAGCCTACCCAATGTTAAGGGTGATTTTTTGTCTCTGAAGATTTGAATATGGTATTCATGAACTGTAGAGGGTCAAAATGATATTAAATATGTTCTGTTGTCCATTCAGTTGTGTTTCCATTGAATTACGAGTTTTATCCTTTATATCCTTACTTTGACACCAATCCAAAGTGATAGTTAAAAATTTAAATAAATGTTGTCATTATTTACATTCATTTAGTTCGTCCAACCCTCACACGGTCCTTGTTGATACGGCGAAACAAACGAAATGGGCATGAAACGCGACCCACAAGTTTCCTATAAGATTAAGTGGCAGAGCTTAAAAAAATGAGATTAAAATATCCAAAATACTCAAATTGCACGTATTCGATAAACAAAAAAAACTCGGGATTTTACTAACCATATTAGCACTTTTTATAGTCTCGTAATTTGTATAATCGTTTTTATAAACAAACTTTGAACTACAATTACATTTCACCACTAACAATATTTTCATTAACTATATCATTATAAACTCATACGTAATGAGGATATATCCAACCACCCCAAACTAACGCGACGCATCTGTCTATTCACAACGTAAATGTTTATTTAACCCGTTACGTTATCACGGTATAACAGCATTTGTAAATCTCACGCCTAACGAGTTACCTCCGATTTGAAACTGGCATAATTGAGTGTAATTTCACACGAGGGTCGAACAATGAGAACAGAATAGTACGATATCGCTACACATTTAAAGGCGAGTAGCGATATCCTAATCGAAAAGTCAAAATTACTTGGATATGTCTATTTGTGTGACGTCATGTTGTTGTCATGTGTTTATTTCACAATTCTACTATTGATATTTTCAATCGAATTTTAATTTTTCTGAAGGGCAATTCTGTTTCGGTGTTTGCATTCAAACAATACTACTACTGGATTGTCTACTACTCTGCTTCACATTTTTGCCCTCGTGTGTACAGTCGTTGTTGATGACATTTCATTGTAGTCCAGCATGCCAACCAACTGATAGCGCATGGCGCGTATAGCATATAGCGTGTAGTGTGTATGCACCCGATGCGACTATGATTGATACACGACACGGAAAGCAATTACTCACATTAATTAATAACTTGTATTCTCGATTGAACTTCAAATCCAATTATTACGTTCGATTTCCCGGCATATTTGGCTTTTTAATTTCATCGAGAGGCCATTGTTTGTCTGTTTTTTAACGCTCTTCTTTTTTCAATAGTCGCAATTATCGTTACTTTATAATCCGAAACTCTACCGAATGTTGTGTTTTTGTTTTTACACTAACGATATTCCAGTCTGGGTGTTATATGCTTGCGATGTTATTAAAAGTTAGTTGCAAACTGTAGTACTCCAAAAAATACAGTTAGGTACTGATTAGTAATCACGTATATATTACCCTTTGATCGCTGTTGATTAATATTATGGACATGATGAACGTTGTTATGAAATAATAATATAATAATAATAATAATATGTTTTACCCTTAAATATGTATCGCCAAAAATGCTTTTGGTATAAGTACTTTTTTAATGTGAAATACTAGTGGAATTCTAAAAAAGACATAGTTAGTATTCTTCCAGACTATGTTCTATCTGTATGCCAAATTTCATCCAAATCCGTTCATCCGTTTCGAAGATACCATCCATCCGTCCAAATAAACATTCGCATTTATAATATTAGTAAGATTGTTTTAACAAAAACTATGACATATTTATTGCAATATGAGCTATTTTATATAACATCGTACTTTTTTTTAAATATACTGTACTAAAATATGTCATATGTTTGCGAGGAATTTTTTTTTGTTAATGTGTAATAAAGCTAGCTCGAAAACAATTTTTGCTATTATAAAAAAATCAATATGGATTATAAAGCTCTGCGTTTATGATTTTTTATATGACTGTCCAGTTATAAGTGGCCTTAGACAGTGCGCTAAAATTAGTTTTTCTTGAAAATAATGATTAAGATTCTAGCATTTCTTAGCAAAGCGATTAGAGTCTGTTGTATTCTCGAGTTGCTGAGTATATTAAGGTCTCGGATTCGATTTCCAGATAATTTTTAAAGGTTGTGCAAAGGTTTATTTTTCTGACGAGTTTAAACAAGTGAAGGTTTATTTATCGTTAATTAAGAATTAACTCGTGTTAGTAATAATAATCGTAGGTTTTCACTACAAGAACAACTTTAGAATTTTAATGAACTTGCATGTTTGTAATAAATACCAGTTTATCATACGTTTTTAATGGTTGATTAGCAGTGGAAACCGACGATATCATTTCAATGATTTGTGCCGATCATCATCGCTGTAAGCGTATTAGCGAGAGCGATCAAATTACGTAGCGAAATTACCAAAATTTGGTTAATCTATTAACACTAAGCTGGCCAATTGAACTTGTTTATCAAGTTTGATAAATTATAAATATATATATATATACTATTGCTGCTGCGAATAAATGCTATTTTTGATATATAATATTTGAAATTTGTTATATTTTTATTTTATGTTTTATTCTTTTGCATAGCTCATTTATATTTATTATATAAAATATGTATTTGCGAAATAATACAGTTAAATTTCACTGTTGTTAAATTTGTATCAAAACATGTTTTTAAAGATTAAAGGGACATTAATATGTTTTATACAGGTTTATTAATAGTGAAAACCCAAAATTGCGATTGTTTTTATGATTGAATGATCATCACTTCATAGTTAAATGCCTACAAAAATCGCCGTTTCTTTTTCCTGCTTTCTAACGTTACTTCTTGGGGTCATTAACGCTATTTAATAAAAGTTTTTAAATACATTGCTTTATCATTCGAATGTAAACTTCAAATGAATATTGTGCTGATCCATGTTTAACTAGATTGGGTTCAAATATTTCTTCATAGACCGGCCAGTATGGTCAAATAATGAGGAGTCACTATACTTGTATAGTGGCTCCTTTTTCTTCCCCCTTTTCATTAAACATTCAATTATTATTGTTATTCACTTGTTTACTGCTTTTCCTGACGAGTACGTGACACAGCGGTCAGGAAATTTGCCCTCTGATGCGCGAAACCGCAAATGCAGTTAATATCGCGTACCACACAAATTCCCGGTGCTCGAATCTGATCGCGTTATCACCTTTATTCAATATTTTCTGTGAAATTTAAATAGGATTAATTGCGAGTAAATTGAAAATTAATTTCGTTTTATTTGATTTGGCATATCAAAAGAACTAATTACTTTTTGTTAATTTCATAAAAATGTCCATTTATATGGAAATTATATAATAGTAATTTTTCCAAAAGTTTATTAAAATCTTTAAAGCTTTTTCCGAGAGAGCCCGCTTTGAATCTACAGGTATTGATCGCTTTATGTAATGAATTCCTTTCTTTAAACAAAGCGATATGTGAGTTCAGACTAGCAATTGCATTTTCCATTCAATTCGATTTATATTATACTAGTTGACTCCGTCCTCGCATAATTAAAAAAAATCTTTATTAATAGCTTATGTGTTTATGTCCTACATCTGTGCTAAGTCTCATCAAGATTAGTTGAGCCGTTCTGGAGATACCTTGTAACAGACATCCAAACTTTTGCATTTATAATATTAGTAAGATTCATAGGGTGTTGTAAAATGTCAAAAACGCAAGTAATTCTCATACATAGTCCTTTCTGGAACGTTTATAAAGTTATTTTATTTCTAATCGTCAGTGTTAACATGTAATTATTAATATTAGTTACGTCGGAGACTTCGGCTATACCAGGTTACGCTTTACAATATCATGTTTATTGAAAATTGATACGTGCTATATATTGTCAGCGTTGACACAGGTAAATTGCTTCGGGGAATATATTACCAATGAACTGCGGACAAAATCAATAGACGATTTAGTACACTGATTGAAGTGTTGCACGTTTTGTTTGATATTAAAAACACAAGAAATAAACAAAAAAAAATATGAAACAACAATACTAAAATATTAAAATCAATGTAAACTGAAATTAGTATCAAACCATGAAATAATTTGCATTTACTCAATTCCAGTTTGGCATGGTCATAACTCCAGTAATTCCCGATAAATTATAAAGTATAAGCAAAATCATTTGCCTCTTTTAACCTTTATTTTATAAATTACAATACTATCTGTTTATTCGAATATTTTCAATACTTTCAAGCAAATTGGTCAGGACATATATTTTAATTTGGTTAAAGATAAATTAAATAAATCCATACACGGCAACTATTAGTGCTGGATGTAAAAAATATTTACAAAAGCACTCTCGTCCAATTAATTCCACCCGTCAGCGATAATGCTTGATCGAGCTATCTTCAACATGGGGTACACGATTTATTATTTTACATAAGAATTATAATAATTTTATGTAAAAATATAACATTGATAAAAGCAAATTTAACAAATAAAAGCACAATATTATAAGCTATGTATAAATATACTCAGAAATTGTCTAGATTATTAAGCTTTTAAACAATGATTAAAATAGTTATAGAAAATATTTCTCGATGCTTCCACGTGCAAATTAATTAAAGCAATTTTAATGAAAATGATACTGTTGATTCATATAAAAATACTTTATCCTCGCCTTTCAAGCCTCGTCTGTTAGGCAGATACACGAGCGCTTGTTAAAAATCCACACTTCTCTCTTTACAATCGAGTTTGATCTAGTTAAATAAATTTTTTTTAAGCTCGCTTGCCGCCACTCATTTTTCCCATATCCCCTACGTGTTATTTATTTCGTTCAATTGTACTTAAATTGAGAGCAGCACTCACAAACAAGCTCAAAATCCAATTAGCAAATGACTCGTACCAGTACGTAGTCACGTCACTTCTATGCCCTAAAAGTAATTATTGTCTTATTCACAATTACGTCAGTTCCTTCGCGAACATAGTCGTGGGTTCCTGAGACCTCTATCTCTGTATACAACATCCCTGTCACTATCTTTGACAATACAGTTATGTTAATTTTCTAAAATTTCATATGATCGGATAAAACAAAAGAACTGTGACCGAAAAGGTAACTAAAATGTTTAATGTAATTTTCTTCTTTATATTTAACATCAATGTCTGTATGTTTGTCTTATTCGTAAGCCAATAATCAGATTTGATGAGCTTCGTTAAGGTAATTTTCCTGTCGTAAACTTGGTTAAATTACTTTGTTCGCATTGCAACGCATGTTAGGAAATAATAAAATACCGAATTCATAATGCATAGTGGTAAGTAGAAATCTTGGGTTTTAATAAATTTTACCATGGGGCATGGTTTTCTTGTTTCGAATCTACACACATTAATTATAGTTTTAATATAATATAAAAAGAAAGTAGTAATTTTTCATAACATTAAAAAAAATGATACTTTTTATACTAAAAACGCTAAAATCCTCGTCTTGGTCGAAGTTCTGTTATATTTGAATTCATTTAATACACTAAAATACTCATTATACTCGAACTGATAGCTTTCATTACTTATTTACATCATTTTAAAAATTTCATGCAGTAACGCCCGATTTAATAGATTTTACATCATCCTTGAACGAAGGCGCGCATTTTCAATTCAAAATTTAATTTCCGAGAAACGTCCATTTTCTAATGTTTAATTTGACACCACTCAGAATGTGTATTATTACCGTAAAATGTGTATTTGAAGCTTATTTAAATATGGTATCCCAAATGTGGTGTGGTGCGGCCATGTTCATCCAAAGCTCCAGTTCAGAATCATTAACACGCTTCATGTTTTAATAGGGATTAACGCCGGGACGTATTTGCTTATTCCTTGTTTACCAGTCGCCGTTAGCGGACGTGCTACATCGGACGGGTTGCACTTCGCGCGCATCGTTCGACCGGGCGCTACTGCACGGAACTTTGAAATTTCGCTCTCGCCTACTAACTTATAATCTTTTTTCCAAATATTAATTCAAATAATTTAATATCAAAAATGATGCTGCAGCTGCAAGAAAGCGATTTTGAAGAGGGATCCCTGTCCCTATGCGAATCAACCGACACACCGGAGCGTATGTGTGATGATTTCTTTAATACGGTAAAGAAAAACCCTGGCAAGACCGTGGTGACCCCCATCGATCCGCCGCCAGAATTCCAGGTACGTAAATAATTTCATATTTAATTTTTTTTATAATAAAGCAATTAAAAAAAATGTTTTTTTTATTTTATTTTATTTCACATTTCCAATATTTGGTGTTGCGGAATAGATTTAATTGCTTCACATTTTTAATTCAGTAAAAGAATATTAATATTTATTTTAAACGTGAAAATGTGAGCTTTTAAAATAATTTTGAATTATTAATGCTCGAAAGTAATTCAAAAACTTTTTGTAGAAACTATCGGCAAATTATTTATTATTCACGTGATAAAATCTGTTAGTTCGACGGCTAATTTACTTGTTTCTAAACTTAAATTATATTTGAGAACTTTTAAGACTTTATAAATCGCTTTATAAATCACTTACGTTCTTTAAATGTGAAAGCAATTTTTTTTCTGACTTAAAATAAAGTGAAAAATAAATTCAGTTATCCAGTTTGTAAACTTTTAGAGCATATTTTAGATAACGTGCAGTTTTAGTATTGATTTTATAAGTTTTAAAAACGAGTTTTACTACTTTTCTTTTGCCGTCGGGATTTTGAAATCGAAAAATACGTTGCGTATACATTTTTAAACTTACCAATGAAAAGAACCAATCAATTTTCCTAATATTTAACGGAACCAATAAAATAAAAATTCGGGAAACTTGGATTTTTTTTTATTTAAAAGGGTTTATTTTTCGAAACATTTACTTCTCCAAAAAAGTATAAAAAGTTATATTAGTGAAATACCATTCCCCATTAGGTACTAAGATATTGAAATTTAACTTTTCGAGTTAAAGAAATGAAATTTCTTAACTTTACGTTGTAATTGTGTTCTCTACCGACTATTAAAAACTTGACAAAATATTAAAAGTATGTACCGTCTCTCAAAGTTCTTCGCTGGCTCTTTTCTGTAGTGGCATAACTTTTGCGTAGAAAAGACTTGTGTTATTTTCTAAAAGCTTTTAATAAATTTAAATTGATAGATTCCAAATAAAACTCAGTACAATTAATTATTTAAAAATAATAATTTATTGCAAAAGTATTTAAAAGGATTTAATAAGATTTGTTTTAATTGAATTTTAAAATTCGAAATTTAAAACGAACAGATTTTCTTAATATTATTTTTTTGACGACGGAATAAAGCTCGCTCCTCGGTCCGACTAAAATATTTATATTCCAACTAGTTTTCAGGTACAACATGGTTCGGCATATGATTTTATTATCGCTGTTAGCTTTGAGCTTTTGATGTTGCACTTTATAAAGTCTTGTATCCGAGCTTCACTTGTTTCATTTAATTATACGAACATAGTAAATCTAATTTCAGTTAACCATAAGGTTCATATTGCCTAAGTAAACCTTACCTTTGAGACCAATCTTCAAACATTTTAAAAGTTAATCGGATTGAGTTGTAACAACTAAGTTTTCAGTTAAGAGGCGCTCTCATGTCAAATCCCAATGTGTAATTGGTTTTTAAGGATGCTCCAGCAATGCTGAACTTATTGATTTTTTAACTACGTTTTAAAACAAAAGGTCAATTTAAAAGAATATCTATCCCGTGTCTTGAAATGAATCTCTTTTCATTTAAATTCTGTTAATCTGAATGAACTCTTTTGTCTCAGTAACAAAACGTAGTTCATTCTCATTTTCTTCTAAACGAAGTTTAGTTCCTTAGAATGGTTTTGATACGATTTATGTAAAATAATGTAAAGCATACCCGAGCGAAACCACCGCCCTCTCTAAGTCTTTAAATTTCTTTGAGAAAAATATGCGATGGTTTTACATATAAAGGGTGAACTAGAACTACGAAATTTTTGCTTTATACCATACATTATTTTTCATTTCAAATGTTTTAATATACTTAACGGTGATTCCTGAGACCAAAATCTCTGTATAAAACATAATGTTATCTCTATTTTTAAAAAAAAATGTAAGGAATTACGATATGTTATCAAATTATCCGTACTTAATAAAAAAATAAAGTTTTCAAGTCAAATAAAAAAAGAAACAGGTATTGGAATTAGCAATACTAAGTCGGAAGTGTTATCATTAGAAACGTTTGTATAGTGCTTCTGTTTTGCTTGTTCGTTTATTGCTGTAGCGTTAATTGCGTTAAATTGTCGTTTATCGATGACGACGGTCTTCGTTGCCGGTTACGGATTCGAGACTAATTTAAAGCCTGCCGTTGTGCTTGTCGAAGCGTAGTCTATGAAAGAATACAAATTTTAATTCGATATATGGTTTTGTCGATGAAAATATTCATTAAATTTAATTAACTTTATAAAGTACACAGTTGTATTAATTAACCACATATTGTGGAAACTACACGGTAAAATGGTCGTATAAAGGCATTTTGCGTTTTAATTAGGGATTGTAATAGTATGATGCTAATTAAAAAGAAATCTGGATGTGATGTTTTTGAACACCCCGTAGATAACACTGATGTCCTGGCTACTACTACAACTGGCTGTTGCAATGTAATTAAGCGTAGTCGTGTATTAGATGTTGCCAATGGTCGTTCATTAATTATCACCCGAATGATTTCGACAGATGTGGGAAATAGAATTAGACAATGTCCAATCTCCGGACAATTGTATCTATACATTTTCACTGCCGACACATGTATAAAAACACGTTATCTCTATTCTATCAAAACAAATGAAAGGGATTAAAAGGGATTAGCACTCTGCCCAAAGCTAACCGAAGCCGAAGCGAAGTCAATTTCGATATGAATAATAGATTATAATACCCGGTATGGACTCTGTTTGTTCCATCGAATTATGTTGTATCTAGGTTTACAACTCTATACCGAACCTAACATAGAGTTCTGCATTACCTTCGGTTCCATAAATACAATATTTCGAGCTAGTTCAGTTATTATATACTCTATAGTTATTACTGCCAGCAAAGAGATTTAATTGCAGGTTTCAGTCTGTGTTGTTGGCTTATAAAAACGTGTAATATTTTGTATACACACGAAGTCTGTCAATCGGCGTTCGAGCAATCGATCCGTCGATAGACTCTAGAGAGTCAGCGCAACGCAACGATAATGCCCATATAAGCTCTTACTCCAGATTAGAAGCTGAAAATTTTACAGTTTAATATTCACTAGTGTGCATATTTCAGTATGGTTAGCGTTTTTAAAGCGTCGCGTTCCGGACCTTTGTATCACGCGTCTCTAGTGTTTTATACAGAAAGCTGGGATTTACTTTATGTTACTTTTTACTTGTAAATTTCACGAATAAAATACTATTGAAATACTTAACAATTAACTGGTAATAAATAGTATTGTCCAATGATAATATCGTTTTAACAGTTTGTAAATACATATTATGTTTATAATTATTTTAAATCTTAATTGAAAAACTTGTCTCACATGAAAATTATATACCATGTTATATTATTATTAAAATAATTACGAAAGTTAAAGCAATACGTAATAATATAAGGGTTGATGTTCGTTGAAGTGGGGTGGAGACGAGGCGTGCGTGCGTGAGTGGGCCCAATCATATAATTTTCAATAGACATATCGCCTCCGACCTGCATCAGATAACTTTAGTTGAATTGTATAGATTTAGAGCTTACGTCGGGACAAACCTAAAACATTCTAGAATTATCAGTAGTAAAAAAAAGGAAATGATATAATTTTTTTTTAATTTCGGGCACAAGTCATCATAGCGTTTCTGCCATAAATGTTCCTTACTAAATTTTAATCAAAAACTATCCACTGGTTTTAGAATGCAAAGTACACAAATATCCAAACAATAATTTCTGTTCATAAATACATTTACCATTCCCTATGTCGCATTTTGATTACAGCTATGTGCGACTTAGCGGAAAAACATAATATATCAAATCGGATTGTATTACCCGATGAATACATGTACGATGTATTCGTAAATACTGTCCGAGGAATATTTGTTGAATTAGTTTGGTCACTGTATCTATCAAATAGTAAATAACGAAATATATAAGAAGTATTCATGTCCCATCTGATTTATATTCAACACATTGTCACGATCTAACACAGTGTTCAAATCTCCAAGTCAATTTTGTGTCCAGAAACATTCTGCATAATTTACAATAAGGCGACGAATATTTTGATTCTAGAACAGTCCAAAGTTCACAAACAACTCATTTAAAATCGTCTGAAGGATTATTTACTCCAATTCCACTCATATTTATTAATATTTTTCTACTTTATATTCCGAGGCTGCGCGTGCGAATCAATAATTTTTAGTTCAGAATTCACTAAAAACTAGATTTACGTTTTTCAGAATATACAGAGGCCGACATTTATTTTTTATAAAAACGATCTTTTCCGTGCTGCGTTTTAACTCTGCCTTCCGAAAACTCGATTATATCCCATCGTTAACTAAAAAAAACATATTGGAAAAAAATAAAACATGCCCTATAAATTTCAAATTATTAACTTACACACACTTCGTGTTGGCACTTCATGCGAAGTTATTAACAACATTATCAGAGATAATTAAACGTCGACTGCAATTCCCTTGAAGTTCCGAACTAATATATCTAACGTCTCATACTTGCCTTAAATGTTTGAGAATTAGTGCTTACATCGGCAGCCGTGTAATCCACATTTAAGAGAAGTTCTTGTGTTGTAAACAACAACATGAGCCTTTTATCAAACAAATAAAAAGTAATAACTGCCGCACACTCGTTGAGGTCTACACTAAGCGTCACCCTTAGTGACTAATTAATAACTCAGCGTGCGGTATTAGCTGTCGTAGTTTTTACACAAACAATAGTGTTTTTTGGCTAAAAGACGGTAAATGAGAAAGGGGCCACCTTATTTGCTGCGGACTCTACCATTGTTTATACAATTCCAGAATTGAATGTTGTCGGAACTCGATACAAGAAATTTGCAATATTTAGGTTAAGCTATACCAACATAAGTTTTCAATGCGTTTCTGATTTATTTTATTGATTTGAAAACTAAAGATCAGGCAGGAAACATTTTTACGGCAATTTCGCTGAATTTTGGATCATCGTATCG